CTTCAGTTTTTTATTCTGCTTTATAAACTTCCCCCATGTCATGGAATGGCCCTTTATTATCCCACCATACAGTTATACCATAAGTTACTTAATCTTTCCTCCATTGTTAGATAGTGGAGGCATTTCAACTTTTTTGTCCTGTTTACCATCATGCGGCCCTGAGAGTCTTTACCCATAAGTTTCTATCTGCATCTTAGAACTCTTCCACAGGATAGATTTTAAAAGTAGAATCACCAGGCCGATTGGTAAGAAAGTTTTTAAGAGCTTTGAAATTGTCAAAATGGTTTCTGGAAAAGTAGTACTAATTCCCCTTCTACCTGAGTGTTACCACATTGCTGGTTTCATGTTCAACATGGCATATCACCACTAAAGAACTCTGCCAATTTGATAGGTGAAAATTATATGATGTTCTTATTTTAAATTTTCATTTACTTGAGTGTAGTGATATTGAGTGTTTATTGTGTATTATCTATTTTCCTCTTCCTTGTGAATTATCATTACATTTCTTTTGGCAATTAAAAAAATGTGCCAAGAACTTTTCTAAGCAGTTTACCTGTATTAATATACTTAATAATTTAATAAATTAAAAAGTGACTCACAATCCCAGCATAGATAGCCACTGCTAACATTTTATCAATATCTTTCTAGTCTATTTTATACGTATGCTTATGCATCCATACAATTTTAAAAAATAAGATCAGTACATATGATGAGTAAGTTATCCTATACTTTTTGAGATGTAAACTGAATGTCCAAAACTGATTATCTAAAATCATAACATTGGCTGCTAGAGAAATGCCCTAAGCAATTCTTTTTATTTCTGATAGGTGTTGCTCAAAGCAAAGAGATCATCTTCCTGCCAAGTAAGGAGCCAGCCTTTGTCACCGTACCTGGAAATGGTTTGGCAGATCCATTTTCACTTGCACCAGGGACATGGATTGCTTGTATTAAGGCAGAGGGAGTCCTCCTGGTAAGAGATAGTTCTTAATGGAGATTCTTCT